TTTTGTAGTTTCGGGAGGATTTTGAAATTTTCCGACGAATTTCTGACGAAAATATTTTCGATGATAAATCGAGCATCGGTAAACTTTCCGTCGACAAAAAAAACGCCAAAAAACTTTTTCTGATGGAAAAATTTTCTCTGGAACTTTTTTCGGCTGAAAAGAACCGTCGGAATAAATAAAACAGTTAAAAAAAATTCTCTCTCCGGGCCTGCATCCCAGCCACTCTCGTCCTCACCCCCAGTCTAAGTGAGCCCAGCCCGCTTCCTCGCAACCCCCTTGAGCCCGCTTCCCCGTAACCCACGCCCAGCAACAACTCACGTGAGCCCGTTCCCCCGCAACCCGCATGAGCCCGCTCCCCTGCAAGTAGAGTGAGCCCGCTCCCGCAACACGCGCCCAGTGGGCGCCCAGGTGAGCCCAGCCCACTCCTGCACCCGTGTGAGCCTCTCCCACAACCCGCGCCCAGGTGCTTGTCTGCCCTAACATTCAAACCGAGGACTTCCCCCGCACCCCCTGCCCGCGCGCTTGTCCGACCACCATGATGTTTCTGCAAAATTGACTCAATAGAAAATTTTTTTTATTTATATTAAAACCTCTTATCTCCATTTATGCACTCACTAAGCTAATATGAAGATGAAGTTCCTCTATGTTATTTGAGTTAATTATGCCTCCTTTCTTTTCACAATCAAATGTTTAGTCCCAACTAAGCTTGGTAGTTATGAGGATCATATTTTTTTTTTATGTCTTCATCATACATAATGTTTTAAGCATGTTTTTATTTTTTGATAGAAATGTTATGCATCATGGTCATAGAAATCATTCTCTTTAAAAGTAAGTAATATACCATAAAATTATTATGCAAAGCTAATTATGGATGGTGTAATCTTGTTACCCTTTAGCCAAGAGAAAAAATTTGTTTTGAGAGAATATAGAATCATTGATAATGGATTAAGTTATTATATGATGATACAAGATTGTGTCTAGAGGCAATATTTACATGACTAAGCTAAGTTGCACCTATTTTACATGTAAAAGAAGAAAGATAACAATAAGAGGTTTTCTATTGACTATTTTGAGTTGAATAAGATAAAAACCTTGATTAACTATCATATGCCCATGATTATCTTCCTCTTTAACTAACTAAAAGGAATTATTCTATTATCCCAGATAGACTTATAATTAAGCTATCGTCAATTGAAGGTCAAGGAGACTAACAAAAAAGCACTCTTTTACAGTGGTCACTGAAAAGTTTTCATGATGTTGTTTTTATTTAATAATGCCCATTCAACCTTCAGGAACTTGATAAATAAAATTTTAGAACCCTATTTTTGCTAGTTTATTATAATATTTATCAGTGATGCCTTGGAATTTGGGTGAGCATGAAAACACTCTTTTACAGCAATATGATCCTTATTATGGCATTAAGTATTTTAAATTCTTTCAAAGTATGCCTTATGATTATATAATTAATTTCCTTATTTTAGCATGTTTTCAACCGTAAAATGATCTTCGGTTGGATTTATAGAAGATTATTATAATTGTTGAGTCATTGCAATCAAATATTGTAATGAAGGTGCAATGCTTTCTTGAATAGGTTGGCTATTAAATGAGAATAGTCTCAAATTTTGTTTGAAAGTTCTCACCATTATATTAGATAAGCAAGAACTTATCATGTTTTAAGTTGATAGATGTGCTCTAACATAATTTCAACATACTGAATGATTATTTGGTGATAGCATTGGTGCTCACTTTCCCAACAAGAATAGAAGAACTCTAGCTTTATAATGATCTCTCATTACTAGGGCTCAATTGTGTTTGCTTGCAAGATGATCAACCCATTGCTTTTGATTCCTAACAAGCAAATTGATAAAAGAGAATTACCTACACAAAATTTGGAGTTTATGGTAATTATATTAATTCCCAAGGTTCAAAGGAACTACCTATATGGTTTATAAAAAGTTTTTTCACTAACCATACAAAGCCTCAAGTATTCTCATGATCAAGAGAAGCTAGATTTAAGATATAAATGTTAGTTTGATTAAATAATAAATATAACTTCTAATGCCTGTAATAGAATATCATCATCAAGTTGGTTAGGAGTTTCATCATTAACACGAAGATTGTGCCTTATTAGCATAGTTGGCTCATCAAAAATATAAGAGGATGAACTTGAACTTATCAAATTGATTTAACATGTTAGAGTGGGTATGAAAAAGGATAATAATGAGCTAATATTGATCAACCTAACTTCTATATAGAATTATTGAAGTACTAGTGTTTAGAGAATGTATATGTATGCTTGGTGACTAGATGATAAGTGACAATCTACTCTAAGAAGCTTAATTTTTAAGACATATCATTCTACCATGAACCTCTAAGATGTATGAAGGCCTGAATAGCCACTTTTAATTTTGTATCCTAATGGAGGGCATAAAAGAGTTTATGAGTAAGTGGACGATAGGATCGGTAGTCTAATTTAACTTATGCGACTATAATAAAGATGAATAAAATCTAAAAAGAAAAGAGCACAAATTTGACTACATTAGTACAATAATGTTAAGCATAAAGATACATAATTTATAGTGGGGTATTTCTTAGAGATACTTGCATGAAGAGAGTGAAATGATTTAACCATATAAGGAACTCAAACCACCTTATAGATATTGGCCCAAGTTGGAATTATGCCTATCAACTTACTTTACCACCTTTTTAAACATAGTGCATTTGTTTAATATCTCAATACTTATTTTATATAATTAACTTTACTCATATGTTCTTAGCCAGCTTCAAGGAGATTGACTAGTAGAAAATGAATTGGTGAAGAAGGGTTATTTTCTTCATAAGAAAGATTAAGTGGTGATAAACATTACATAGAGAATTTTTCATCTTATGATGACTTTATTTTCCAAATTTGAATGTTTCTCCTAGGCATAACCTCATATGATTAGTTACATCTCCCACAAGGAAAAATGCTTAAAATTAAGGATAATATTTATAGGCTTTTTAATAAGAAAAGAAATTCTTAACTTTTTTGCTCATGCAATTTAGAGATTTATGATATAGTCGACCAATATTATATATATTTTTTCATCATGAGTAGCCATTGATTTATAGACATTGAAGTGAAGTGCATAAAAAGTGTCAGAGTTTCTAAGGCATTCCTAAGAGGGTCAAAGTAGTTAGTAAGTTGAGGTCTTCATAGGAGAATCAAAAGTTATTTGAGTTAACGTTGCCACTAAGAAGACTTTTCCAAGGGCCCCTTAAGGATAATCCCAAGGACCTCCTAAAAAGCATGCTGAGGTCTCTCTTTAGAAGTATCTCGAGTTGATCAATAATGTTTGAATTTTCTAGGGTTGCATGTCTATAATGTGTGAGGTAAATTTTGACTTTAAAATAATGTATTGTTCTAGGGTTTGCATGTCTATCATGTGCGAGGTAAATTTTGACTTTAAAATAATGTATTGTTCAAGGGTTTTAGATCATTACATAATAAATTATTCCTCTTTTATTTTGAATGGCCCAACCTCACCTAATTAAGGCACAAAAGTGCATAAGTAATATAAAATTATTGAGATATAATGGGCAAAGGATATATAAAGTTTAATCATTTTTATTTAGGTAAATTAAGGTAAGAGTTAGGGTTGATGATTGACAAAAATTATAAGTTGGTTCATTATTAAGAAAATATATCATAATCCATGTAGTCTATTATTTTTATAGATAAGGTGGCTACCTTGATTGATTTAAAGGTAAATTGAAAAAGGTTGATTAATATATTGATAAAATATCAATGAAGATAAAGTAAAAGCTAAAGGTGAATAAAAGACAATGAGGAGAAAAATAAAGGGAATGAGGAGGGGAGTAGTTGAGAGGAAAATGAGTTTCTATTTAAAAAAAAAATAGTTTTTTCAAAATTGTAATAAATTTATTTTAAATTAATTTAATTATTTATTTCGAATTGCATGATTTGAATTGCAAAGTACAAGACATTAACAATTGATTCTTAAAATCTCAACTCTATTTTTAAAAAACTTATTGTCAAGACAATATGACTCAATGAGACAAACATGATACTAGAATGATCTGACTGAGTATAAATGATCTCAAATTAATCATTTAAAAGCATGAATATAATTTTCTTAAGGACATTAATTGTTTTGATTACAAGACCCATCTTTCAAAACCACAGTTGATGACTTCAATCATTCATCTAACATCTATTATTGCATAGTAATGCATGTTGAGGTCTATTGTCATTCTAATGGTAATTGAAAAATTGAATTCACCATTCAATAGAAAAAAAAACTTTGTAGATCCATAATGAATATATTATTGTAACTTTAAACTAACAAAGAAACTGATTACTCTTATAAAATATTGTCTATATGTTATTCATACGTGTGTAAGAGGAGATGTTATTACTTGCGGAGATCACACACTGAGAATCGTTCAGATTTATCTTTGTGAACAGTAAAAGTATAGTGGTGAACAATAAAAACACAGTTTACTACACTTTTATTGTTCACAGAGACAAATCGGACGTCTGGTCCCCGCACGTAGTAATTTCCCGTGTAAGAGAGACTTTTTGCATCACTCATGTTTTGAAAACATTAACTTAATCGCTACAAACTATCTAGCACATAAAAATAATCAAATTAAACACTAAATATAACCATATTTGCATCATTTTTGTCAATTAATTAGCATATTAGTTAGTAAAACGAGCTTGTAATTTTTTTAATTCAAATTATTTACAAAATAAGTAATTTATTTTAAAGCTTTTAGTATCTTTAAGATAAAATTAACTATTTTATACATAATATTGTATCAATATTTTTATTTGATAGTATTTTAGATGCATAAAAGCTTAAAAATATTTTTTAATCATATAATATATATGTATATAATGCGTGAATAAAATGAACATATATTTTTTTAATATTAATTTAACTATTTAAAGGTAAAAAAATCGTACACAAATATCCATAAAAACGTGAATTCGAGTTGGAACACCCACGGAGGCCAGCGGGAGATATTGGCCGACTTGTCTCTCCCCTGCTTCTCTCCTCTCTCTCTCTCTCTCTGTAAAGTGCTGGAGAGTGGCGATTCTCTCTTGCTCCGCGGATTAGAAGAAGCGTAAAGAGCCGTGCGATCGGCGCGTTCCTTACTCGTTTGGACTTTCCTCATTGGCTGGAACTCGACCGTTGAGTAGAAGCAGTCACACATCGGTTGCTCTTCCTCCATTGGTGGCGGCGGCGATTAATCCTAGGTCTTCACTAGCTTCCCGATCATGCCTTGGAGTGTGGTGAATGATGGCGATGGTATGCCCAGGATTATCTTGACGGAGCCTAGTGGCTCCTCCGCCGAGGTATTTGTTACTTTCCTTCTTATCCTCTTCTTATGATATGCTCTTGATTAGGCCAGTGTTTAGAATTCTACGGAAATTTTGACCAAATCCCCAAATTTGAAGAATATGTTTTTTTTTTTTTTTTTTAAAGGGAATAGATTGGGTTTTGATACACGATGGTTGTAGCTGTGTGGGTTTATCCCCTGTTAGGGTACTGACGGACTTTGTTTGGTATTTGTTGCTTGTTTTTTTTTGCCAGGTTCTTTTGTATGGCGGGCAGGTTGTGTCCTGGAAAAATGATCGGCGAGAAGAGTTGCTTTTTATGAGTTCGAAGGTATTTGAATAATTTGAGTCAGTAGAGCTGGGTGACTAAATTGGTTCATTTGTTCCTATTTTGCATGACGGTGGTAGGGGTTTGGTTTTATGTGAAATTTAGGAAAATCTGTGCCACTGACTTAGTGCATTGACTCTTCGCATGGCCATCATAATACTAGTCACTAGCGCTTCCATGCAAAAAAAAAAAAAAAAAAAAAACCTGATTGAATTTTGTAAAGTTAATGCATACAGTGTGAAATGAATTTTGTCTTAAGTAGTATTTTCTCTAACCCTGGAATATGCAATCAATCTTTTCCAAATATCCGTCCTTTGTAGGCGACATTAGAATTAAATGATTATGTTTTAGTTCAAAAGCAAGAATCCAAATTCTTTCCTTGATAAGGAGTAAGGACAGCTGTAAACCAATTTCTTTTAACATTACATATTTATGGTTGTTCTTAAATCTTGCTGTAAATTTACATGTGTTTCAGTGAGATAATATTTGAAGCTGATTGGTGGTTATTCAAATGGAGTTATAATATTGAGCCCATGTTTGCTATTCCCAAAGCAGTAACTTGCTTCTTTCAGCTGACTGAAAGCAGAAGAAAAAATGCATTTTACCAGATAATCCATGAAGAAAGTAATGAGTTTCCAGCTGGCTTTTTTCTATGCTTGTAGAATGAAAAAATAGATGTCATAATTTTCCACCAGATTTTTTTCTTGTTTTAATTACTTGGATTTGGACTATATTTGGAAATATGAAATGTTGGGAACTATCCTTTTTATTCTCAGGAGGACAACATTTGTTAATTAAAAAACTAGTGTTGTCATTTACCACAAAGTGACTGAGAAAGCTCCAAATGAAAATTTGTATTACTACAATGCAAAAACATATTTTGAGTAAGATATTAATGTAGGCAAAGCTGACTGTTTGGTGTTCTATGCTTTATTCGGATTGTTTGGTGGCTGTTGGATTTCCTGCTGAGTTCTATGCATATTTCGGTTTTCCAAATGCTTGGAATTTGTTTTTTTTTTTTCTTGTTTCCTATGGTAGTTGTTCCCCTTCCCTATGCCATTTAGGGCTGTGTTTTGTTGATTTCCAATGCTGGCCATTCCCCTTCCCTATGTTATTTCCTAAGTTTTATGTAGGCTCCTATTGGATGTTTGGGGTGGCTCATTAATGTGAATGATTGTCTGTTTTTCTTCTATAAATGGGGTTGTTTTCTTGCAATTTTAGAAGATAATGGAATGATTTTTTATTTATAAACCTGCTAATTTTTCTTAGCTTACATGCTAGCCTCCTTTCCCCTTTCCCTCTACTACTTCGTCTCGGTTTTCTACCTCTTCTTCTCTCTCTTTGGTTTATGCCCCACCTGTATCTTTCTTCTCTTAAATTATTGTAAGTCTTAAGTTTTGTCGTGTATTGTTCTAATATAATTTGTGAGTGGTTTCTATTAGATGTTAAAAGCTTTGTTATGTAATGTTTATTGTTTGTATTTGTCATATTAAAAGGAAGGTCTTTTTTTTTTTTTGGCAAATCTAGTTTGGTGTTTTTTCATTTGCATACCTAGTGTTATCTTACTTGGATTAGAATTCCTAGGTTGCACTAGATATGCTTCATATTCTATTTGAAATGAATTTTTGTTAGCATGATCAAGTAGTCGAATTTTTAATTTCAGATGGATGCCGGTTAACATGACATTGTGTAGATCTTATAAATCTCCTTCTTCTATGTTTCTTTCCCTGTGGAAGGCATGTTATTTTGTTTTTTCAAGTAAATATCCATTTTTAATTAATGTATTGGGATTCAACTTATCATAGGCCATATCCTTAAAGGAACTATCTTTTACTGAAACATATAGACATGGAGATCCTTTTCGTCGTTGTTGTTACTAGTCATTCCAGCCTGATTTAGTTGATGGCTCCGATTTGAGATCTTTCGCCAGTGATCTTCATTTCCCTGTGCCAAGCCTTATAGTTATTTTGACATGTATAATTATTGGACAATCTAGGTGCTCCTTTGATTCTTCTAATGTTCTTAACTTTGAGCATGAACACGCGTGAGGATACTAGATAAAATAGAGTGGGATGGGCATGCAGCCAGTATTGAAATTAGGATAAGGTTGCATCAGTATAGTTTAACTAAACTACGGTACTTATAAATTAATGAATTAACATAATTATATTTACAGATGACCATTGATGCATATGAATTCATGTTATCCATATATGTGCAACAAGATAAATAGAAAGGTATAAATAGTTCTTATTCTGGAAGGTGTGATTGTTTTTCAAAGAAAAAATTCTTGCCTTCTTAAATTTGAAATAAATTAAAGCTCTTTTTGATCTTTTAAATAGGTGTGTGTTGCATATAACTTTTCATTTTGAAAATTTAAAGTTTGGTCTGTCAAATGAAAGAGGAGACATGATGTTGTTGATTATATAGTTTGGGATATTTTGAAAAGCGTCCCTCCAATAGCAGTTTAGGTCTTTTGAACTTTTAACAGTAAGGTGTTAGGCACCCCTTTTTAAATTTTTATTCCTTCCAGGTGTATATTTTTGGTACAGCCGATTACCAATAAAGATGATTCAAGAATAGGTTCATCCCTAAACAATCCTCACTTTTATACATGTATTGTTTATATGGAGCCAACCTACCGTGCATTTTTCCTTTGAAGTTGTATTATAGTTTTGGTACAGCCTATTACCGATAAAAATAATTCAAGAATAGGTTCATCCCTAAATAATCCTCACCTTGATACATGTATTGTTTGTATGGATCCAACCTACCGTGTATTTATCCATTGAAGTTGTATTGAATTAATTACATAAATTTCCAATTTAACTTCTCAACTCTATCTTCATTATTAAAGAAATTTAGGTTGGAAGAGTGTTGGTACTTGAAAAGTTATGCCCATCAATGCGTGTCTACCTTATTCCTTAGTCATCCATCAATATTTTCAATATTATTTAATGTATCATGTAATTATCCTTGCGTATCTTTAATTAGGACTGGTTTGAAATTTTTGTATTTATGCAAGGATAGTTCTGTCATTTGGAATGAGGTTTATTTCTATTAGGGTATTGCAATTTAGATGTTTGATAATGAAATAACGAAATAGTTTTCTTTTAGCAACCATGTGGTTTGGGTTTCTCCCTCTTACTCCTAGTTTTGCGGCTTTCTTCCACTTCCATTTTACCTTCTGCCATCCTTTCTTTAAGGCATTCATTTCTTTCCAATCTTCTTAATTCCTTCTTCTCTTCATCTCTAAGTACTTTATCTATTTCAGAATCTTTTCTTCTCAATAATAGTAATAACAATAAAATATACTTATCATAATGCCTATTTGTAATTGTGTAGGTATCTTTCCTTTTATCAAAACTTCTATTTTTTTCATAAGTTTTCAATTTGTATTATGTATTTATATCATTGTTTTCCCTTGTTATAATCAATAGCCTTATCTTAACTATTTGTAGTTCGCTTTCTGAATATTCATTCTTTTTTTAATGTTGAGCTCTAAATGAAGTTTAAATTAAAATTTGCAAAGCCTTTTGCATAATTTAACACGTTAACTGAGGTCCAAACTTTTCCTTCTATCTTAATTCTATCAATGTATCTTATTGGTGCATTTATACAGGTCAAAACATTTAATTCTTATCTTTGCTGATTTCCATTCTTAATGCCTCTCTAATGTAACCATTTATTGTTGTATCCATTCTTGTTTTACCAATGATCCATCTTCGCACTCTCTATCTACCGCAATCAATTGAGTCTTAAATAGCTTCTTTATTGAGCAAGAATAAATCTTGATAACAAAGCAAGCCAAATTACAACTTTATGACAATAACATTAAGTCCGCAAATTATTATCCTAGTGCATATTTGATAGGTTTCTTGGCAATCCATTAGGGAGAAGCACCTTTAGAGTAGATTTAGACTCCACGAGAAGAAGAGGGGAGAAATAAGAAATTATCCATTGCATAATTCTTTTATTATAATATGAGGGGTATTTATGCTATGTTGGGTAGACAGGTTTTATAATAAAGAACCGGTCTATATAAAAAGTACTAAAATAGGAAAACATAAAGAAACTAGTGTTTGCTACATGTGTATAGACCAAATGGGCTAAACCTTTTAGTTTGGACTTTCTTTGGCCAAAGATGTATTGCTTTCCTTTGCGGGTTGTAGTGCCAATGTGAAATATTTTTTATTCCTTCTTCTTTGATAGATTTTTATTTTTATAGGTTGTTGTGCCATGTTTGTAAAACCATGCTTCACACTGTTTTTGTATAATCTTAGGATTCAATAAAATGTGTTGATATCTAACACTCCCCCTCCCGTCGCCATTAAAAATAACCTTGTCCTCATGGTTGATAGAAAAAAAAGACAAAGACAATGCTGAAAATTTTTCTTACATGGCATCATTCGATAGATTTAATTTTCATTGTAACAATACTTCATGGAGAGGTTGATCATGAAGTTGCAAAATTCGGGAAGCTAAATGGCATAAGGTACAAGGAGGGGTTGATTGTTGTAATTGAAATTGGGTAACTGTGAAGTGGTTAATAGAGGAGTTCGTTTAAATGGTTTCAGAAGGGAAATATGGAAAATAGAATGAATTTTGCTTCCATGTGGAAGGGTTGGGCGATAGACCACAGGCTAATAATATTTTGAATTGGGAAAGGTCCAAAATAATGTTTAGCTAATTTAGAATGTGTACGACTACCGACTGATGACAACATTTTTTTTAAAGGGTTGTAGCTTTAGCTAGATCACCTATTGAAAAATGCAAATCACTTTGATTGTAATCTGCCAATATTTCCATGCGATGTTGTGCTTGTTGTATGTTTTGTTTGAGGGTGTAGAGAAGTGTGTCACAGTTTGTTAAGAATGCATTGACGACATGTATGTCAAAAGTACCATGAAGATGTGAAGGCATGGAAGGTGGCAATCTTCCATATGGAGTCTGATATGGTGACATTTTTATGGCTGAATGTTAGGACATATTGTAGCATAATT